ACTGCCAGAGGGAGTAAAGAAGGGGTTCTAGAGGACATGGATATAGGTTGTTTCCTAAAAGATGGTTAAAATTTGATGTGAGAAATAAGGGGTAAGGATATTCAAAATGATAGGTAAAGCATGAACAATTCAGAAATGACCTTGGCATGTCCATGAGACTGTGAAAGCATCAACTTGGGTGGAGTAGAAGGTGCCTTTGGCTCACTCTAGCAGCGGTTCTCAACCTGTGGGCCGCGAACAATGAAAATACATCCTGCATATCGGATATTTACATTATGATTCATAACAGTAGCAAAATTACAGTTATGAAGTAGCAATGAAAATAATTTCATGGTTGGGGGTCACCACAACATGAGGAACTGTATTAAAGGGTCACGGCATTAGGAAGGTTGAGAACCACTGCCTAGGGCAAAAGTTAGAAATGCATGTTTAGGTGAACTGAAATGCCTTCCAAGTTCAGGCAGGTAATTAAATGAGCGAAGCAGCCTGGGCATCTACCGAGAGGGAGTGGAAGAAAGCTATGGCCCAGGCTCAACAAAAAGGAAGACATCACTAAGCTCCAGCCAGTTCCACAGTGAACTCTGCCCTAGTGTTGCCAGACCTTCCCATTTGTTACAATACGCCACTGCTCTGGATTTTAACATGCGAGTGTGTAAATTTAATTCTTATGACAAAACATGGAATTATGCTGGACAAAACTAGATACATAAAAATTATTTGAGTCATACTGAATCATATCTAGTATGTGAACCACTCATTTTCAACCTCTGCTGGACTGTAGAGAGCAAAGACTGCTAGAATTACCGTAAAGCCTGCGTGGCTTATCCTATAGCCATTTAAGGTTACAGAATAGAGATGCAACAGAAAGTGATATGCTTTCCTCAGGCTATAAATTCAGAATATTTGTATGACAAAAATAATAAGTGAAAGAGAATTGATTGGAATTATTGACTATTACAGTTTTAAAAATTATTTTTTAAATGAAATTCATCTTAAAGTTCTATTATCTGTTGTTTAAACTGGTTGCAGGAAAATTTTACAACAACATTTTAAAAAAATGTGTTGGCTCTAAATTCTTTTCAACAGTCTCATTTGCCTTTAAAAAAAAAATTCAATGATATGACTCTTCTCTACCTAATAGGAAGAGGATTCTGGGTATATACTTTCCAGATGGGCCTAAATGAGCACTTGATGAATGACCTTTTATTTGCCACTACTACCAGCTGCCAATGGTGGATGCAACCAGGATGTCTTGGTCAGGTTCATTTATGTGCGTGTTCTGTTTTGGTCCACAAGCCTGGCTGACATTGAAACCAGCCGGGGTTTGAAGGTTTGCAACAGATGCTTTTGTGCCTACTAATTTCTGAATTTGATAGTCTATAAATCACTCACAAAAAATACTATGTGAGTCCACTATTGGTTTAGGTTTTTCTCCAACCTAATGAGACAAAACCTGAAATTGATGTTAAGAATATAGCTTCTAACCCTAGCTGGTTTGGCTCAGTGGATAGAGCATCAGCCTGTAGACTGAAGGGTCATGAGTTCGAATCTGGCAAGGGCACATGCCTGGGTTGCGGGCTTGATCCCCAGGAGGAGATGTGTAGGAGGCAGCCAATCAATAATCCTCTCTCATCATTGATGTTTCTGTCTCTCTTTCCCTCTCCCTTCCTCTCTGAAATCAATGAATATATATATTTAAAAAGAAGTTGGTTTTAGCCCAGAATACAGTTTCTGGGGGAAGGAAAAAATGCAGCATCTAAGCCTTCATGCTGCAATCAAGAAGGTTTGTTATTTAACAAAAAAGTCAATATATTATCTCTCTCCTATCAGGAATTCCTAACAGGTGGAAGAGCTTAGTATCAGCAAAGAATGAGGTGGAATAGAGAATTTCACATGGAGTTTACAATATTATGCTTCTGTCTGAATGAAATGCAGCATTCCAGATGTTGCCTACATTTCACTTAAAACAAACTGCTATGATTTATGAACAATAAAAATTCCTGAAATGTAACACGGCAACTCTGCTTCCTAATGCTGAGAAAACTCTTAGAAGATTATCACATTTTGAAAACGTGCTAATGAGCCACAAAGTCTGATTAAAATCTAAGGTGCAATATTCCAAAAATATTCCTGGTGGTTTAGATAAGTAAGGCTCAGTTTTCACCATTGATGACAGTACTTTCAGACAAATTTTGCAAAGATAAGGAGGTCTCAGTAGTTAAGCCAGTTCACAATAGCTCCTTATTAAGTTATTTTCAGGGAGCAGGGTAAGACAAAACATTAAGACCTGAAAATTGGATAAGAGAATAAGAAAAATAGTCCACACATACAGACCATTCAGTTGCTAAAATGTGAATGGCTAAGGCTTCAAAACATAAAAGATGAAATTTTAATTACTTAATTTAATGCCTATTTATAAATAATAAGTCCAAGTGTTAAGCAGGTTTGAACAAAGATGAACATCTTCTGTTACTTAATTGTGGAGAATAGAATAGTTGTAATCATGTTTTCTAGACAATATCTCTATGGGAGAGAAAAACGCTCACCTATTGCGGCTTTGTTTAAGATCAAACTGATCTAATTAGCATTTTCATCTACTTTATTGCTCAGAATTCCCTTTAGTGAGGTGTGCTTTTGATAAATTTCAAGGAAAGCTTTTTGGAGAACAGTTGAATTCAGACATATAAAACAAAATAGAAGTTTTCTTCAAAGATAAGCCAAAAATCATCTGAAAACTAAAATAAAAACTGCAAAGTCATAAAAGTTACATTTCTATATTAACAATAAGATGTGACTTACACAAATTAACCCAGGATTATTTTATATTTATGATATTCCTGAAATAGGACAAAATCTACCAGGGAAATTTTAATTGAAGTTACATGCAAGTAATCAGAGGGAACAATACTTCTCTCTCTTCTGATTGAATGATAATGTGGCCATATTGGTTAGTTATTTTGTAAGGTCATTTTAAACCATAGCGATATTGACAAGCTTGTAATTAAATGTATAAATAATTTTCTGATTTCAGATCATAAGAATTGAAGAGAGTGTTCTCACAGCACACTTCACATTCTGGACACTTTAGGATTTTGTTTCCACTTCTTTGCATGTGGCAGATATAGACTCAATCCTATGGAGAATAAAACTATACACTTGGTACCTCCTACAGACATTGTGACTGTAAGAGTGTGTTCACAAGATGTTACTAATAAGATTACAAACTGTGACAGAGGCAAGATATAGGTAAAATCCTGGTAGACCTTCCTGACTCAACTCCCTGCAAGAAATTTTCACTTGGCTGAAAAGAGAACCCCTGATACAACCATTTTTTTTTTAACATATAATTTCATTCTCAGAAGGGAGAAAAATCAGGTAATTCTATACTTGATTTTGACCAACAAGAAAGAATCAGTTAAATTTAGTTTACAGAAGCGATGCTGAACTTCCATTACACAATCATCTCTTTAAGCAAGTAAATACCTCATTGCTAAAGCAACTACCATGTGCTGTATTTGCAACACCAGTGCCTTGTGTGGAGTTGGTATAGATATATAACATGAAGTGTTTCAGATGCATATCCTTCATCTTTCCTTAGCATATCTTTAGTGTTTTATTATTTTATAAATATTTTTAAAAGATAATCAGAAAATTATGTGCCAAGAATCATCAATAATTTTCTGCATCAACATGCAAGGAAAAGACTAACACTAATCAGTTCTCTACAAACCTTGCTAAGCTTACCTGGTGGTAAACCTCTTCAGAACTAATCCCAAAGAAGGTTATTAAACTCTTGATATGTTTCTCCTAGCTCATTCATTTCAAGGTGCGTCTTCCTCCCAGCCCCCACCCCCTCCAAAATTACCCATCCTCATCCCTCCCATCCCTTTTACTACACAATGTACATAGTTTTCAAATGTAATATGCCCTTTGCATGTCATAAAGAACAATTCTCTAAGTAGGACTGATGATCTATATTTATAAAAGCCTAAGCGACCGAACAACTGAACGACCAAATGACTGGTCGACTGGTCACTATGACGTGCACTGACCACCAGGGGGAAGACACTCAATGCAGGAGCTGCCCCCTGGTGGTAAGTGCACTCCCACAGTCAACCTACTGTGGCCAGCCAACCTCCCGTGGCCCCTCCCCCTGGCTGGCCAACCTCCCGCGGCCCCGATGGCCCCAATTGCCTGCCAGGGACCCCACCCATCCATGAATTCGTGCACCAGGCCTCTAGTTTAAGTATGAAATCTCAAATGTTATAGGAATCATGGGTACAACATTACCCTAGAGTTAAGAGGTAATTAATAAGAAAAATTCAACATGGAGACTTTACCAATCAGGAGGAGTTTTCACAGGAGAAATTTCTGCCATGATGACTTACAAAAATAGTTAATTGCCTTCATTCCAATTATATCCTTCTGAATCTATATTACTTCAAATGCTTCTGTAAGCTTCTTGGAGAAATGTTAATCGTGGTGCTAAAGCTAAGAATGCCATTTTGCTGAGTGATTCAAAAAAATGAGTGCTGCAACCCAAACAAAATCCTGATTCCATTTTTTTTTAACTAATCAAAGAAGATTATGTGAAAGAAAAAAGTGAAGATAGAGAGCATTTCTCTGGAAGCCTAGGACAAGCTTGCTCTGTTTGAGTAATGTAAACAAAAACCCGGGGTACCAATGTGCAGCCAAGAGGGTTTGAGAACGATTATAAACATATCACATCTGGCTTAAATATATCTCCTAACAGCTCTGGCATTAACAAACATTCATAAGTGGTTATGGCCTGCTCCTTTCCCCAGTAAATATATTTACTTCTCCGAAATAATTTTCAAATCATAAAACCACAGGATGCAAGCGCCTATGAGATAGTAGAGCAATCTATTTCAAAGCAACCAACACAGGCTGAGGCTTCTATTCATGGGTATGAATAATTGGTAACTGCATAGATTCAAATATCAGGACCAGTACAGCTAATCATGGTGGCTGGGACTTACCAGTACTTGTAAGGAAGTTAACGTTTCTCATCACACCTTCAGTGTAAGCGCCTGGCTCGTAACTGTCCATTTCACCTGTGACAATGTGAGCCACTCTTGCTGCCCGTCCTCTGATAGCACCGGCAGCTCGGTCTAAATTATCAGCATCCTGGTCTCTCAGGGCTATGATACATTTGTTGACATCTTCTAAGATGTGGCTCTCTGTAAGGAAACAGATCAAAATAATTTTGTCAGTATTTTTTTATCACACAAATCTAGCATATTATAATTTAAGTTAACTTCTGACTTCAGATGTGATGCGTGTTGGGAATGGAGGACAGGGACAATAGGGAAGGAAAAATACAGACATAATTTTGCTCCTATCTCTTTAAGAGCAAAATTTGCAAAATACAGAATTTTACATTTTTATCAACAATCTTTATAGATTATATATTGTTTTATATTCTAGTTCCAATAGATTAGATTTTAGATTTGACTGCTTTGTAGGTGGAAACTGAGTTTCTAGATTAAAAAAAATAAAATGTATAATAATAGAATATTTAATCCTGATTAAAAGCAACATTATAGAGGTTATAAAACTCTTTAAAAATTTCAGTTGTCCTAAATATATAGCAAAATAAAACTATGGAGTTCTATTCAACTCATCTTCATTGATGTACAATGAAATTTAACATAATTACAGAAATCTTAAAATTAATAAATAACAAACATATGAAATACATAATTTTTAAATTGTAAAGCAGCAACCTCTCTAAGTCTATGAAAACACTTAGATAAATAGGGGGCTTTGTAAAGATTGACTTGAGGCAAGCGAATCCCTGAGAAAGTTGCCCACTCTGAAGAGTGTCCCCCGACCTCCACTGCTCCTTCCCTCTTTGCATGATTAGGGCATGAAGACAGCAGACTTCTGAGGATAGTACTGTTTTCTTTGTCTATGAAATGATTAATACTCCCAATAAAACTAATGAGAGAAGCTGAGCAAATATGGGGAATATCATCAAGCCTGGGCAATATTTCTAAGAAATTAAAAGAATATTACAAGAATTAGTGTTTGGCTCTTAGCATTTTCAAATGAATCCCCACTCAAAATCCTTAAGGACTCTATTACTTAAAAACATACTAGAAAACAACTACAACAAAAAGGCCTTACTAATTTCAGACCGTAGTGTTAACTTCCCCCTTTCCCCCAGAGGACAGGCATTCACAAAGCTATTTCTTTGCGGTGTCACACCTTTCTTGTCATGGGTAGAGCATAAAATCCAAAAGACCAAATAATATGGTCCCTGGTGACTTTCTGAGACCTGATGACTATCATTCCTCTCTAGGCCTCTTATGCTTCAGTCATATTTATTTTATGATTCCCAAGTCCACCATGTTCTTACAAGCCTCTGTTCCTGTGGGCATATTAGAGTCTTGACCTAGATAGACTGTTCTTTTTCTTTCCTGGATCCAATATCTGTGTGTGTGTGTGTGTGGTGGGGGGTAGGGGGGCGGTTCCAAACTCCAACAAGCAATTTCGGTGTCCACCTGGGTGACCTAGAATTCAACTCAATCCTGACACTCTCTACCAGAGATGGCATCCGCTTCCACAAGACTTCTCCTGCACCCTTCACTTCAGACACCAGTCCCAAGCCGTTTGTTACCTATACTTCTGACTGCCTAGCAACAAGTCAGAGATTCCCATCACTCCTTCTTTGGGTTTGATTAACTTGTTAAAGCATCTCACAGAACTCAGAGAAACATTTTACTTATTAGATTTAACTTTTATAGCTCAGGAACAGTCAGATGGAAGATGCACAGGCCAAAGTATAAGGAGAGAGTATGGAGTTTCCATGCCCTCTCCAGGCTCACCACTTTCCCCACATCTCCACGTGCTCCACAACACAGAAGCTCTCTGAATGCAGTCCCCGCCCCCCTCCATGGAGGCTTTACTACATAGATAGGATCCATTCAATCTCCAGCCCCCTCCTCTCCACCTCTCCATGGTTGGTTCCTCAGGCAATAGGCCCCATCTTCAGTCCACTGTTATCTCATTAACATAAGGAAAGAAACCTCAAGGCTTTCAGCACTTAGCAAAGTCCAAGGATTTTACAAGTTCTGTATCCGAAATGGGGTGAATACTAAATATATGTTTTCTATTATAAATCATAATATCACAACTGTGAATCCCCTTTGGTCTGATTCATCAACTTCTACTATTCTTTCAAAATACGAGTCAAATGTTCCTTCCTCAGAAAATTCATGCTGACCGACAACAAGACAAATTTTGTCCCATGTTGTTTGGGATTCCCGTGAAGCAGTCTATATGTTTCCATTAGGTCTTTTGTCCATGTTTTAATGATGTACTCGTGAAAATATCTCTCTGTACACTATGGAATATATGGGAGCATAGGTATTTTATCTTGTTACTTGGAGTAGTCTATCTAGTCTCTAATACAATACATGGCACCTGTTAAACCAAAGAATATTTGTTGAATGAATGAATTCCTCTAATAAGACACATCTGAGAACAGTAAATTATTTTGTCTACATCCTAAATCATGTGTTATGTACATAAGTGGACATATTTCTGTGACCTTAAATAGTCAACTTGACCCATATCAAGGACAGCCAGGTCATTTGCTTGAAAAAGATTAAACATTGAAAACCATTGTTATAAATTCACTCTAATTTTAACCTACTCAGCAGCATTCAGTTATGAATGTATCATAAAGGCATACAATAAATCCAGGCAGGATCCCTTCTCAACAGAAAGTGCCTGGGTATCATTACCATCATATTTCCCCTGGAACTGAAGTACAAGTTTAAATGTGGGAGGCATAGCAATCATGAGCTTTTTAAAAGTCCACAGATGTGCACTTTAATGACACATTAAGAAGCTGTTATTTCCCATGTACGTTGGTAAGTTGTGTTTTTTAATAAGTACAACATAGGTTAACCATAAATTAAGGTGCTTAATTTTAGGTTGCAGAGTTATTTTTTGCTCAATCCTAAAAAATTGAAAAGATATTTAGGGAAAAATTCACAATGCTCATTTTTGAAGATTAATTGTCTTATAAACTATGTAATTTCTATTTAATTAAAGGTGAAATCATATCTGTCACAAACTATTCTTTATCTGGTGAATTTTACACCAGAAAGGGTATACAAAGAATATTCAATAACAATAAATTGATTGTTTCCCTCTTCTATAGAGAAAATTATATACAAGCTCAGCAATTTATTTTATTGTTTGAAGCAGAGAATAAAAACATAACAAGGGTTGTTTTTGTTCTTTTTTTATTGGTCTTATAGAAGTGTGTGTGGTTATTGCTTCAGACTGAGCAACACAATCAGCAGCCATAGTGTTAATTAATCATGTGGAAGCATTCTATAGGCAAGGTGAGATACAGAAATAAAAGCCCTACAGGAACATACACAATATGAAAAAATAGTACATGAAATGAGTGGCAAGCAGCATATAACCAGACTTTATCATAAGCAGATATATTGAGAATGTTGGAGATGATGACTAACTGATCTTTTGAATTACTAACAATAAATATAGCACAAAGGTATTAGGAAAGTTTGCAAAGTTTCCATTATTGTGACACTTTCCCATTACCCTGAATGTTTCAAAAAATGCCAAGAACAATTATTTGCACAAAATTCTAAATAATAGAGTGCCAGAAAAAGAAAATAAAAATGTTGGGCACCTCCCACGTATGCACAATAATTAAACAGTGAACTAATTTCCTAAAAACAAGTATTTCTTTGCTACTCATATTTCAGGTGAATTTAGGTAGCTAAAAAGTCCTTCATGATAGCTTGAGTTTTTATGCCCGGTTATATAACCTTACACCGCTAAGGGGAAAAAAAAATAAAACACCGAATATCTTGTATAAAACTCCTTACTGGTGTATCTCTAAAGACTTTGCTGATGGACTAGGATAACTTATTAGACAGATGTAGCAAAAATTATTAGAAGCTCTACAATCCAATTTATTTTTTTCTCAACAGTAGATGCACTTGGACTCAACAATTACATCATTTTTAAAATGAGATTTAAAACAAAGAAAATGTTATTATAGAATAAGCACATTTAGAATATTACATGCTTTGAAGAACGATTGAAGACTTGTCTTTATTAATAGTTTCAGAGTGTGAGTTAACATTTGATTTGGGGTGAGTGGTGGGATGTCCTGGTGTTACTGAAAATCCTAAAGTGCATTATTTTAAGAGCAAAGAATTGCTAACTACTAGCAATCTCTATCAATCACTTTATAGCTATTCTGAAATGCAAAGGGTTATTTTTTTATGTTGAAAATAGTAATAAGTAGGGAGATATATTGATTTTGAATAAAAGATATTTCATTTGTTGCAAACTTCTCTGAGTAACTCCAACTTTGGTCACTGTAGCAAGTATTAACACAATGAGATTTGAAATGCCTTAAGTTTTTTTTTTCTCTGATTCTTTTCTTAATTTTTTAGTTTTCCACAATTAGAGCTAGAATTAGTCTCAGGAAAAGTAGAAAAGAAATAAAATCCAGCCAAAGCAGAAACTTTTTTTTCTAAAGGTACTGAGTTATAAGCCAAAAGAGGCTGAGTTTCTTAAATTGGCAAGATTAAAGGTTAGCTACCGATTGTATATGAGTTCAGAGAGTTAAGATAATTGATTAAATTTTTCAGTTGAAGTTGACATATATTATGTTAACTTCAGGTATACAACATAGTGATTAGACATTTATATACCTTACAAAGTGATCACCCTGATAAGTCTAGTACTCATCTGATACCATACATAGGTATTACAATATTAATGACTATATTCCCTATGCTGTACTTTTGAAGCATAGTAACCTCCATCTTGGGTAAAAACTGCGTTTAAAATTTTAACCCTGCTATTCTGGCTTCTGGAAACATTTGCTTTTGTAAATAATAGGGAAAATAAGACTACTCCCCATTCCAGAGAGGCCATAAACCATGCCCCAGACAGAGTTGTCAGTGCTGGCGCCAGGCCAGGCCTTGAGATATGGTCTCACGGCCCTGTCCAAGCAAACAGGGCTTTTTCTCAGAAGGTCCGGTAGTCTCATTCCAAATTTGGAAAACAAAGAGCTGAAAAACATATAAATTGAAAAGACTTCCACCATATTGGGCCCCAGAATTTGAGAAGCAAGAGTTCCTCTGGGCCCACTAGTGCTAGCGAAAATGAACAGGACTCC